AGGTGTCTTGTCTCTCTGGTTTTAGCTCTGGTGCGGCTGCAGGCGTCTTGTCTCTCTGGTTTTAGCTCTGGTGCGGCTGCAGGTGTCTTGTCTCTCTGGTTTTAGCTCTGGTGCGGCTGCAGGTGTCTTGTCTCTCTGGAGCGCTGAAAATGATTCTATCAAACTTGGCTAAAAATAAAACTTCTCTTTTTCTTTCTTGAAACTTTGCTCAGGTTGTTTGAGCACCATCTAAAATGTACTGCTCCGTCTTCCCTCTCGGGAGGACTTTGTTTCTCTTCTCTCGACTCCTTTCTTCTAAAGGTCCCTCAGACAACTTTTTAACAACCACCTACAACTCTGAGGGGGCGTGGCCAATCCACCCAATCAAAACAGAAGAATGGACTTTTTTAAACTTAATGTGGTTTAACATTTACCAACTAATTGAAGCATTACCTTAATTCACTCTGCTGAAAAGTCCTCAAATAAAAGAAATGTAAATCACTTCTGTACAACCTACATCTTGATCTTTAAGTGGGATCAAATCAATAAAAACACTTTTGTTCAACTTGTGAACAGAAAACAAGTTGACATCCTCTGGCTACAGTTTCCTGTCGGCTGGAAGAGAAAAGTTATTGTAGTTATTCATTAAAACAATTATTTCATTACAGAAAAACATGATTAATCTTCCAGTGAGGACAGTCCGTCAGTCCTCTGAATGGAGCAAGGGGAGACCGTGGGTGTTGCACTGCGAAGGAGTTTCTTTGAACAGGGACCAGCTCTTTCCGTTGGATTTAAGACCAGTGAACAGACTGGTTTGGTTCGATCTTGGTACAGGATGTTACCAGAACTTTCTTGGTGATCTATTTAAACTCAAAACATCCATTTTGGGTTCACAGAAAGGTTTCTCAGATATTATCCGATTTACCTGACAATTTTATGGTTTGCAAAACAGTAAAAGTCTCTTTAGAAATTGTCCAGACTTAGGAGTTGTTGTGCAAACACAACGGTTTCAGGACTGACCGGAGAGAAATGTTGGTTCTTCACAGAACAACAATCACTCAGTCCCAAGTATAAGAAATAAAAATATGGTATAACAATGAGGGCGATGTATGACCCCACACTGTGATGGACTGCAGACCTGTCCAGGTGTCCCTGTCTCTCACAGTGCTGGACTGTTGGACTGGGACACCAGTGACCCGAACAGGAAGTATCAGGTAAAGATGGATTTGTTCTTTTCATAAACCCATCATTTATTCTCAGAGGAACAAAATGTTCAAACTAAAAACTAAAATTTTTGGAGAAAAAACAGAAGTTTGAATTTGTTGTCAGCAGCACGTTTGTAAAAAGTTGTCCCTGGAGCAACAAAAGGCTGTAAGAGAGAAATACAAATAAAATAAAATAAATCAGGAGGAACATCAGTCACTGATGAGATGAATCATCAGCAGCTCAGACTGTTAGAAGTAAAGATGGACACAGGTTCTGCAGTCAAACCAGAGGAACTCTTTCAGAATAAAGGTCCAGAATAAGACTTTAATCTCCATCATCTGACCCACAAATTAGAAGAATCCTGAGAAATGACCCCTCTCAGCCACCGTACACAGGACACATTAACGACACGCAGTCAAAGAGGAAGTGAGGAGACGACAGTTTATTGCCATCATGTTTCTGCAGTAAAGCCTGAGATTGGTTCCTGATACAACAAACAAAAACAACAACAAACCAACAGAAAAACAACCGAGGAGCTCTGGGCCAATAGGAAGAGTTTGTCATCATGATGTCATCATGTCAGTTTTTACTGTTCAGTCCTGAAGAGACTTCATGCTGTGATGTCACAGAGCCTGAGGCTCTGATTGGAGCAGAGGTATGAATGGGCGGGACAGTCAGTGAGGGGGTTTCTAAAATATTCAGGAAACGAGGTCGCCATGGCAATGGACCCTCAGGCCCCTCCTCCTTTTCCTCCTCAAATCTCCCAAAACCAAACAAACAAAAACTCAACAAATAAAATGAAAAGAAATTTAAAAAGGAAAAAAAACACAACTTTAGATTATGATTCTAAATAATTACAGACACATGTATACCTCCATCACACACACAGACACCAATTCACATGTGCACACACATACGTGCACACACGTGCATACACTCAGGAAGTTGCACGACAGCAAGAAGCTCCCTTTAGCAGCATCCAAAAGAACCAAATATTAATGGCACATATCTTAAAAAAAATAATAATATTGATAAATGATGACATCATAAACCAAAGGTTTGGGTTGTGGGCGGGGCTAAAATACTTGCAACAGGAAGCAGATGAATACACACAAAAACAAACAGCCAATCAGAGGCCCAAACTGGAAATAAAAACAACTAAATAAAACCATTAAAAGTAAAAACCATGACAGGAAACTCTGTTTCCCATCAGCCCCGATGGTGGCAGTAGGTTTCAGGATTGTCCTGTGATTGGACGGTTCCAGAGACAGCAGCGAATGATGTCATGCTGCTTGGACCAATCAGAATCACCTCTTGTGTTTTCGTTATCACCGTCATTGTTGTCGGTGCTGCTGCAGGATGCTGCGCTCCCATTGGTTGTTTTAATAAACAAAAACAATTTAGTCACACAGCCCTCTGCTGCTCCTCCCATTTTCTCCCAGAATGCTTTGCTCTGAGTGGGCCACATCTTTAAATCAGGAATTTACACAAACCTGTAGTGTCAGTTTTTTAACCTCACACCTCGTGTCTTTAACGTTACCTGCATCTACTCACTGTCTTCTCTACCTTACTACATCTCCCATAATGCTTCACTCCAAGTGGGCCACATCCTTAAAGCCGAAATTTAGGATTATAAACATATAGCGTCAGTTTTTAAAAAAAATATCTCTGGTTTCTTTATCCTTCTCGTCTTGCATTCACTGCCTTCCATACCTCACTACATCTCCCAGAATTCCTTTCTTCAAAGCCCTACATGACCTTTATCTCCTCTCCTGCTTACAAGTCTCTCAGTTTTTCTACAACTCCCATTATGTGACATGAATCACTCCGTTTTCCCATGATTGCCTGTGAACTCACCATCAGCACATTTCACATGTTTTAAAATAAAAACATCTTAAAGTTCAGAAACACTTCAAATATACACACAGCTCTGTAACACCCGACCTCAGCTTCAACATTTACACAAGCACCCCTCCCTCTGTGCGTCTGCAGGGGGCGCCGCCGAGCAGCGCTCTTTGGTTTGAAGCTCTTAGTATTGCAGCGATCGAATGACGCAAGAAACAGCGTCATCAAGAAAAGATTTAAAGTTCATAACCAAAACAAACGATAATCAGCAGATCAGTCGCTATCAGCTGCTACAGCCTACAGTTATATTTATGATGAAAGAATCTGAAGAATATCTCAATAGTAGGGATGTCCCTATCAAGACCTTAGACTCCGATACATTTAGAAAGAAAAATCGGATAAAAACTTGCATTTTCTATTTGCTTGAAACCACAGACCAGGAAAAAGCTCCTATTTAGGCTTCAGATGGTGCAACTTTATGAAATACATCCAACTTTATTGTGACAACGCTAACACTGCTAGCTGCTGTGATGCTAACACTGCTAGCTGCTGTGATGCTAACACTGCTAGCTGCTGTGATGCTAACACTGCTAGCTGTGACAGTGCTAACACTGCTAGCTGTGACAGTGCTAACACTGCTAGCTGTGACAGTGCTAACACTGCTAACAGGTGATGACTGCTGCAACATTTCCATGGGAAGACATTTCCGCCTTTTTTGGGCACAATAAACTTGTGTTGTCTCTGTCCCTATGACGATTTTCCACACTGGTTTTTATTTTTCTGTTCTGCTTCTTCAGCTCAGTTCCTGATCAGCTCAGAAATTCATCCCAACTCATTAGTAAGGCTGATGTTACGTAGGCACAAAGTTTGGGGTTTTAGCGCCCACGTTCATGTTGAGGCTCCTTGAAGAGCCGATGCTAACTCACCGGCATCATCTTTTCAAAACAAAAAACTAACGATTTTCTGCCAATGGGAGCCAAGAAGCCGTTGGTTTTAAGGCACCTCGTCACAAACCGCCGAGTCACATCAGCAGGTTTTTAAATCAATAAAACTAAATCAGTAATTAATACACTTTCATCCTAACAAAAAAACAAACAGCACAACAAAAAAAGTTAAATCCTAAAACAGCATTACTATGGCAACAGCTAGCCTGTGCGATAGTCCGCAATTAGCGACAAACACACACTCAGCAGGACTGAAGACCAGATCTGTTCTGAGTTCTGAGTGTGTAAAAGTGCTGAAACACACACACACACACACACACAGACACACACACACAGCATAAGGATCCTGTGTGCTCCGCAGCCAATCAGAGACCTCCATGCGATGTGGTGGATAGTGGGGGTCAGATGGGTGTCTCCTTGTTGTTTTTCAGGTCCGGGACACTGAACTGTCTTCTCATTCGGGGCGGAGTTACAAAGCCCCACCCACCTGGAGGCCCCACCCCCACAAGCATGTCAGGGATGATGGGCGTGGCCCCTAGGCGTGGCAGACTGTTGTAGTTAGGGTGGGGTCCTGGCTGGAATGGTGCAATGTGGGGATTGAAGTATGGGTGGGGGTGGAACTGATGGTGCTGGTGCTGATTATAATAGAAACCCCCGTCTCTGTTCCCCCCTCCCCTCCCTCCTCTCTCCCCTCTGCCGGGTGACTCCCCCCTTCTATGTCTTGGCCGCCCTTGGTGACCGTTGCTGTTTCCGCCATACTGCTGGTCATCGTGGCTACGTTGGGCGGAGCTGTCTAACGAGTTGCGGCGGTAGCGCCACTGGTTGTTACCCTGCTGATTGTAGTTAAACCCTCCCTGGTTGCCTTGGTTACGCTGCTGCCAAGCTCGATGGGGACTGGGGGTGCGCATGCGAGGGGGCGGGGATGGAAAGGGGAGGGGCAAGAGAGGAGGAGGCTGACCTTGAGGTGGAAGAGGGGGAGGTGGGGAAGAACCGTTTTCTTCTGTTCTTCCGTTCTCCTGCTCCCCATCATCTCCCCCTCCCTCCCCCAGACCTAGAGCCTGCAGGGCCTCATTGGCCCCCCAAGAAAGCCGGTGGGCAGGGTTACTCTTAAAGGGGAACTTCAGCTTGCACTCCTGGGGAGGGATGAAGCGTCCGGTCCCAGGAAGGTGAACTGGGACTGTGGGGGTGGTTGGACCTGCAAGGCGAGGGCGATGCAGACTGTGAACCCTGATACATGTTGAAACCATCATGTTTGTGTCATACAGCACCCCCTCCACACTGACCTGGGTTCTGGTTCTGTCCTCTGAGCTTTTTGGTGATGTTCTGTTTCTGCAGGTTCTGGATCCGCTGCTGTTCCTGCTTCAGCCAGCGAAGGCGGCCTCTCCTGAAGGCCGGGTCCTCCTCCATCAAACGCTGAACTCTGACCTCTGGGGCATCGTGGCTCTCCTCAGAGCCGCCGCCTTCATTCTGAGAAGACTCACCGTCTTCTCCGTTCACCTCATCATCCTGGAAACCAGTCAAATCAAGAAAAGTTACAAGGTAAAAATACCTGAACAGGTATCACGTGTGAGCATACCTGAACAGGTATGATGCTCTCCATCTTGATCATTCTGTCTCTCAGAGCTTTGATCTCCTCGTCCTTCATGTTGTTCTGCAGCTTCACCTCCTGCAGGAGTCACAGAAGGTTTTCATCAGTTTGTTTTGTGATTCTAAACTTTCCAACAAACTTATTAAATATACTCTAAACATCTAATACAGTTTAAATATTCAAAATTATTCCTCACTGATATTCATTAAACCTTTATTTAGACAGGTTAATCCCATTGAGCCTCGGGGACTCATTTATAAGAGAGACCTGAGGCTACTCCTTGAATCACCACCTTGTCGTGGTGGAAGAGTTTGTGCACCTGAATGATCCTAGGAGCTATGCTGTCGGGGGCAATTATAGTTGCTCCTGATTGGGTCTCCCAAGGCATATTGGTCCTAGGTGACAGGCCAGACAAAGAGTGATTCCAAAGACATCAGAAGATGGACAACATAAATCAGGGAACTCAGTGTCCCTTGCTTGGATGTAGGTTACTGGGGCCCCACCCTGGAGCCAGACCTGGGGAAGGGGCTCATTAGCGAGCACCCGATGACCAGATCTCTACCCATGGGGCCCGGTTGGGTGCAGTCTGAAGGAGCAACATGGGTTGTCTTCCTGTGGGTCCACCGCCTGCAGGAGGGGCCATATGAGTCGGGTGCCTGACGTCATGTGCAGTGGATGAAGGTGGGGGCCTTGGCACTCTGACTCTGGCTTACTAAAGCTGGCTCTTGGGACATGGAATGTGACCTCTCAGGTGGGAAGGAGCATGAGCTTTTTTGCGAGGTTGAGAGGTACCGACTAGATAAAGTTGGTCTCACTTCGATGCACAGTATGGGCTCTGGAACCAATCTTATTGAGAGGGGCTGGACCTAATCCCACTCTGGAGTTGCCCATGGTGAGATGTGCCGAGCTGATGTAGGTCTAATTTTAGCCCCCCAACTTGGTGCCTATAAGTTGTAGTTTTCCCTGGTAGATGAGAGGGTAGCTCCTTCAGGTGGTGGGACGGGCTCTGACTGTTGTTTGTGCCTATGCGCCGAACGGCAGTTCAGAGTATCTGGCCTTCTTGGAGTCCTTGGCGGGGGTGCTGGAAGGTGCGCCTGCTGGGAACTCCTAGATTCTACTGGGGGATTTCAATGCCCACATGGGTAACAACAGTGTAACCTGGAGGGGCATGATTGGGAGGAAGGGCCTCTCTGATCTGAACCCGAGGGGTGTTCTGTTGTTGGACTTCTGGACTAATCGTGGTTTGTCCATCACAAATACCATGTTAGAACATAAGGGTGTCCATAAGTGCACTTGACACCAGGACACCCTAGATTGTACATTGATAATTGACTTTGTAGTCGTGTCATCTGATATGTGGCAGTTTGTTTTGGACACTTGGGTGAAAAGAGGAGCTGAGCTGTCAACTGATCACCACCTGGTAGTGAGTTGGATCAAATGGAGGGAGAAGATGCTGGATAGACCCGGTAGACTCAAACAAGTAGGGAGGGTTTGCCAGGAATGCCTGGCAGAAGAATACATCAGAGAGATCTTCAACCTACACCTCCGGGAGAGTTTTAAACACAATCCAGCTGAGGCGGGGGACATTGAGTCTGAATGAGCCATGTTCCACAATTCAATTGTTGAAGTGGTTGCCTTGAACTGTGGCCGCAAGGTTGTCAGTGCTTCTTGCAGTGGCTGTCCATGAACTCGGTAGTGGACAACCGGGGTTAGGGAGGCTGTCAAGCTGAAGAAGGAGCGCTATTGTGCCTTGTTGGCCGGTGGGACTCCGGACGCAACTGAGGAGTACCATAGAGCAAAGCAATACACAGCCTTGGCTGTTGCTGAGGCAAAAGCTTGGATGTGGGTGGAGCTCAGTGAGGTCTTGGATAGAAACTCTCGGTCGGCTCCAAGGACATTCTGGCAAATCATCAGGTGGCTGAGGAGGAGAAAGCAGCTCTTTACTAAAACTGTGCTCAGTGAAGGTTTTGTGTTGTTGACCTCAACCAGTGATGTTGTTGGGAGATGGAAGGAATACTTCTTGGACCTTCTCAATCCAAACGGAACATCTTCCATGGAGGAAGTGGAGTCAGGGGACTTCGGGGATGATCTGTCCATAACTGGCTGAGGTCGCCAAGGTACTTAAAAAGCTCCACGGCAGCAGGGCTCCAAGGGATGAGATTCATCCTGCTTTCCTTAAGGCTCTGGATGTTGTGGGGCTGTCTTGGTTGACACGCCTTTGCAAAGTTGCGGGGACATCGGGGGTAGTCACACTGAATTGGCAGATTGGGGTGGGAGTTCCCCTCTTCAAAATGGGGGACCAGAGGGTGCGCTCTAATTATAGGAGCATCACTCTACTTAGCCTCCCTGGTAAGGTCTATTTAGGCATACTGGAGAAGCGAGTCCGATTGTTGGTCGAATCTTAGATCCAGGAGGAACAATGCGTCCTGGCTGTGGAACACTGGATCAGCTTTTTACCCTCACTAAGGTCCTTGAGGGGTCATGGGAGATTGCTCATCCAGTCTGCATGTTTTGTAGACTTGGAGAAGGCTATCGACCATGTTCCTTGAGGTACACTGTGGGGGGTGCTCCGTGAGTATGGGATTGGGGGCCCGTTGCTGCGGGCTGTTAGGTCCCTATACAAGCAGTGTGAGGGTTTAGTTTGCATTGATGGTAGTAAGTCAGAGCCCTTCAGGGTGGGAGTTGGACTTTGCCAAGGCTCTTGTTGGCACCAATTCTGTTCATAACTTTTATATATAGAATTTCTTGGTGCAGCCAGGGGGCGGAATGAGTCTGGTTCGGTGGCCTCAGGATTCCTTCACTGCTCTTTGCAGATGATGTGGTCCTGTTTGCGTCATCGTGCCAGGATCTTCAGCTCTAAATGGAGCGGTTTGCATCTGAGTGTGAAGAGTGGGATGAGAACCAGCACCTCCAAATCTGAGGCCATGGTCCTCAGTCGGAAAAAGGTGGAATGCTCTCTTCGCCTCGAGGGTGAGGTTTTGCCTCAAGTGGAGGAATTAAAGTATCTTGGGGTTTTGTTCATGAGTTATGTTATCCTATAGTTAAGGTTGGCTTGGGTTTCCTGGGTTGTCCCTTAAGTTATGCTGCTATAGGCTTAGACTGCTGGAGGCCAAACTGACCACCATTTTCACTCTGCTACTGTCTTTACTTACTCTGCTCAACCTGTTTTGTTTTTGTAATTATTTTTTCTATCCTTAATGTGTTTATTTTGTCTTTCAGGTACACCTGGACCTATATTTGGACCTGGACCAATATCTGGACCTGGAACTACATCTGGACCTACTATTCTGTGTTTGTCTGTCTCTCCTTCCTGTCCTCTTAACCAGCCGGTCAAAGCAGATGGCCTCTTGTCCTGATCCTGGTTCTGCTGGAGGTTTCTTCCCGTTAAAGGGAGTTTTTCTTTCCACTGTTGCCACTGTGCTTGCTCAGGATGGGAGACTGCAACGAAGCCAAGGTTCAACTTGTCTGCTGGATTCCTTAGATGGAGAACTTTACTAATTGGCTTTTATGTATGTGAATGTTCCTGTAAAGTGCCTGAGGCAACTTTGTTGTGATTTGGCGCTATATAAATAAACTGAATTGAACTGAATTGAGTGAGGGAAGAATGGAGCGTGAGATTGGTGCAGCGCCTACAGCATTGCAGACTCTGTGCCGGTCCGTTGTAGTGAAGAGCTGTAAGGTAAAGCGCTCTGTTTACCAGTCAGTCTATGTTCCTACCCTCATCTATGGTCATGAACTCTGGGTAGTGACTGAAAGAATGAGATCGTGGATACAGGAGGTTTTCCTCTGCAGGGTAGCTGGAATCTCCCATACAGATAGGGTGAGAAGTTCAGTTATCAAGGAGAGACTCGAAGTAAATCCGCTGCTCCTCCACATCAAGAGGAGCCAGTTGAGGTGGTTCAGGCATCTGGTAAGGATGCTAGCTGGGCATCTCCCTAGGGAGGTGCTTCAGGCATGTCTGACTGGGAGGAGATCCTGGGGAAGACCCAAAACCCGCTGGAGAGACTACGTCTCTCAGTTGGCCTGGGAATGCCATGGGGTCCTCCTAGAAGAGCTGGAAGAGGTGGCTGTGGAGAGAGATGTCTGGTCCTCCCTGCTCAAGGTGCTGTCCTGAGACTCAACTTCTGAACAAGCAGAGACAATGTATGAATGGATGGATGGATGATATGAGGCTCAAAATAAATTGCTTCAAAATAGAGCGTGACTCTGTCAGCTTAGATTATTCCAACAGGAACTGATGTCAGCAGTGAGACAAAAAGAAATCCTCACCTCCAGAATATCAGTCAGCTTATCGATGTGAGCCTTCAGGTTGTACACGTTGCCTTTCTGTCCTCCCTCCCCTGTCTCTCCCCCTCCGCCTCCTCCCTCCTCGGAAGGAGGACTCCTCTCCTCTCCGATGCCCACTGTGTCACAGACGTCCTGGGCCACAGCCTTCCAGCTGTCCTTCTCGTTGGGGTCCTTCTTGGCATACATGCGGCAGAGTTCCTTCATTTTGACAATGGAGAGCGCCTCGATCTCCTGACGGGAGTGGCGGAAGTCTCCCAGAGCCACCTGAGTGGGGAGGAAGTGGGATGGAGGAGACAGAGGCTCAGAAACAAGCTGTAGGACTGGTTATCGATGGAACAGAAGATTTAAGATCAGGTGTCTGGACCTCGTAGCAGATCTCTTTGACAGCCTGCATACGCAGATCCTCCATGGTGACTCGTTTAGGGTCCTTGCTGATCCTCCTCCTCTGGGGGATCTGGTAGACCCTGAGGGGCTCCCTCCTCTTCCCGCTGCTGGGGAGGCCGCAGCGCTTCACTATGGTCTGCACCTAGACACAAACACAGGTCAGCACTTCCTGGTTCTGATGATGCCTGAGGCAGAGGAACATCAACTCATTTAAAGGTTCCTCGGGGAGAACATAGTAAAAATGTTCAGATGTTCTCACCTTGTTGGCAGGAAGTTTCTCTCTGAGGGAGGAGATCAGCCTCCAGCTCTCCTCACAGGAGCGTTTATCAGAGTCATCACCACTGTCACTGTCTGCGTACTGGAAACACACATGCACACACTGAGTTCAACATCTCGTCCAGCCGTCTGCTGCAGGGAACCTGATGAATAGAATCTGATAGATTCCAGTTTGTAAATATGAATAATGAATCATCTTAATACACCAAAGTTAGTCATGGAGTTCCTCAAGGTTCAGTGTTTGGACCAATAGTCTTTACTTTATATATGCTTCCATTAGGTAAAGTTATTAAACAACATGGGATAAATTTTCATTGTTATGCTGATGATACACAATTATATTTGTCCATTAAACCCAATGAATCCAATCAGCTACTTAGACTACAAGCATGTCTTAAAGACATAAAAACCTGGATGACCCTTAATTTTCTCCTGTTGAACAGACAAGACTGAGGTTTTGGTTTTTGGACCTGAGCACCTTAGGAATGAATGTTTCAGTCTTTCTCCCTCCTTAGATGCATTAATCTGTCCTCCAGCTCTAATGTTAAAAATCTTGGTGTTATTTTTTATCAGGACACGTCTTTTATCCCCCACATTAAAAACGTTACTAGAACCTCCTTCTTCCACCTGCGTAATATCACTAACATTAGAAACATCTGATCTAAAGATGATGCAGAAAAACTGCTCCATGCATTTGTCACGTCTAGACTGGACTATTGCAATGGTTTATTATCTGGGTGTCCAAATACTTCTTTAAAACGTCTTCAGTTGATCCAAAATGCTGCTGCCAGAGTCTTAACTGGAGTTACTGGGAGAGATCATATCTCTCCAGTTTTAGCTTCTCTCCATTGGCTCCCTGTCAAATCCAGAATAGAATTCAAAATCTTACTTCTAACCTACAAAGCTCTCAACAACCTAGCTCCATCTTATATTACAGATCTTATTGTTCCATATTTTACTAACAGAGCACTTCTCTCTCAGACTGCAGGTTTACTTGTGATTACTAGGGTTTCCAAAAACAGAATGGGAGGAAGATCTTTCAGTTCTCAGGCTCCTCTCTTGTGGAACCAACTTCCAGTTTTCCCTGTGCAGTGTTCCCTCAGTGAGGACTGAACTAGACAAAAGGACCTTCTCCTACTCAAATCCTGTTTCCTGGAATATCCTGTAAAAGACCTGAAGCTCTCGACCTTTGACCTCTCTAAGTGGCTTTAAGAATCTGTTGGACTCCTGGCAGGGACCAATGCAGACATGTTCCTGTTTTTAGTTTTCTACATTCACCTTAGAATCTAGCTGTTTTTGATACTATTTCTGCCATCTTATTTGTAAAAAAAAAAAATCTGTATGCCTTTTTATGACTGTCCATTGTTGTCATGATTCTTTGTTAAAACAGGTCTCTCTTGTAAATGAGTCCTCGAGGCTCAATGGGATTTACCTGTAGAAATAAAGGTTGAATGAATGAATGAAAAAGTTTCCGTCTGTGAGACTGACACATTGTCCAGTTTTAAGACTGGGCTTAAGACTTTTTTAAATTTTATAAATCCTATAGTTAGGGTTGGCTTGGGTTTCTTCAGCTATCCCTTAGTTATGCTGCTAAAGGCTTAGACTGCTGGAGGACAACCTGAAGGGAGTTTTTCTTTCCACTGTCTCTCTTGTTTTTGCTCAGGATGGGAGACGGTGATGAAGTGAAGATTCAACTCGTCTGCTGCTTCCTCAGATACAGGACTTTACTGATTGTCGTTTTTATGTGAATGTTCACGTAAAGTCCCCAAAACAACTTTGTTGTGATTTGATGATGTTTAAATAAACTGAAAAACAAACTCCCACCAGTCGGTGCTGCTCCAGCAGCAGGTCAGCCTCCTCCTTCTCCTTACGGTACTGAGTCTCCACATCCTGCAGTCTGACACACACAAGTACAAGTACAGGGATTAAAGCAAACAAATATCTCACCACTGAAACTTGTTTATACATCTAGTATACTCGAGCACCCAGCGACTACACCCCCACCCAGCGACTACACCCCCACCCAGCGACTACACCCCCACCCCAAATAAAACAAACAAATAAATAAACAAACCCACACATTTGACAATAGTCCTGCATATAGGGCACTTCTCAAAGGGTCTCACATAAAGAGTATACTGAGTACACGATCTTAGTAAAAGTACACAGTATACTGAGTACACGACCTTAGTAAAAGTACACAGTATATTGAGTACACGACCTTAGTAAAAGTACACAGTATACTGAGCACATGATCTTAGTAAAAGTACACAGTATACTGAAAACATGATCTTAGTAAAAGTACACAGTATACGGAGTACATGATCTTAGTAAAAGTACACAGTATACTGAGTACATGATCTTAGTAAAAGTACACAGTATACTGAGTACATGACCTTAGTAAAAGTACACAGTATACTGAGTACATGATCTTAGTAAAAGTACACAGTATACTGAGTACATGACCTTAGTAAAAGTACACAGTGTTTATGCGATGTTGAAACTACCACAGAGAACTTTGAGTTTTCTGGGTAGAAGAAAGTTAAGCAGAGACACACGTGTGTTATAATCTGGAGATTACAAATACTCGTCTTTTACTGTTAATTTAGTTTAATCCAGCTGCTGGCAGTACCAGCCAGTGCTTCTGTGGTTCTGGACCCAAACCTGCGTAAAGGTGAGTGCTGTGTGAGGACGGGCATCAGACGTAAAACACTTTGTCAAACTAACACGTGCACAGCACACCCATCACAAACAATCAATCATCATAACATGCTCAATAATCCAGGTGCACAATCCAACAGTTTCCAGTCAGGTCATCTGGACCGTTTTTTTCAGCCTTCTGGATGGAAGGTGAAACATTTCAGCACAAACGAATAGAGACGGTCCAGCCCTGAAAGAAAACTGTTGGAATCAGTCATCATGTTCATCATGGATAGTTGTGGATGGTGTGATGTGCACGTGTTAAAAGTCGGAGATTCCAACAGGTCGTCTTGAAACAGCAGTGAAGACTACCTGTGGGACAGATCTGGTTGGCAGGCCGCAGACTGAGGAAGTCCTCTGGATGGAGGATGAAACGTTTCTCACTTAAAGAAACTGGTCCAGATGACACGACTGAACTTTTTTTGTTTAATGTTGATGTTTGATGTTTAATTTAAAGTTTAACGGTGTTTAATGAGTTCAATCGGGTCCGCAGCCTCAGGTGTTTCACCTCTTCTCCATCTCCAGCTTGATGTCGATGCCTTGTTTCTCCAGCAGCTCCTTCTGGGCGTAGTTCCAGTCCTCCGGCTCCTCCTGCTGCTCCGCCGTGACGCTGCGCTCTCTCTCCAGTCGGGCCTGCTCCGGGTGGTTGAACCGGAACACGTGGTTCTTCCCCATCACGATGCGGTTACCTGGCAACAGGGACGGACAGGAGGACGAGTCAGTCCTGACGGGTCCCTTTAGACACGCAGAGACTCTGATGGACCTGTGACTTTGAGCTGATGTTGGAGGTCCAACCTGACAGGAACCTCCTGAGGAGTCAATCTGACGACCGTGTTGCGCTCTGTGCCTCCAAACCATCTCACTGAATTCAAGTTTATTTACAAAACATTTTGTTGGTAAATAAGCAGAAAGAACAAACCAGTCGTCTGGTCGATGGTGAGAAAGTCAGTTTTTAAAAACGAACTAAACGTAATTTAACAAGCGGCACGTCTGAATGTCTGAATACTGAACGCTCGTAGTTTTGGAGATGAGTGTTTTTTATGGTTGTATACATATATACATATACACAGTATACATACAGTGTATATACAAATGTATTTTTATATACTGTATATATACAGTACTTAAATATACATATATATAAATATACAATAAATATACAGTATATATACTGTGTATATACAGTATATATACTGTATATATACTGTATATATATATATATATATATATATATATATATATATTTACTGTATATATACAGTATATATATATATATACACAGTATATATATATATATATATATATATATATATATATGTATATTTATATAATGTGGCAGCACGGTGGCGCAACTGGTAGAGCTGCTGCCTCTCAGCGAGCAGGTCCCTGGTTCAAACCCCGGTCCAGGGGCCTTTCTGGGTGGAGTTTGCATGTTCTCTCCGTGCATGCGTGGGTTTTCTCCGGGTACTCCGGTTTCCTCCCACAGTCCAAAAACATGCATGTTAGGCTGATTGGTAACTCTAAATTGTCCCTAGGTGTGAGTGAGAGAGTGAATGTTTGTTTGTCTCGTTTGTCTCTATGTGTCCCTGTGATGGACTTGCGACCCGTCCAGGGTGTACCCCGCCCCTCGCACAGTGATTGCTGGACATGGGCACCAGCGACCCCCGTGACCCAAAATGGAATAAGCGGGTAAAGAAAATGGATGGATGGATATATTTATATAATGTATTTATATATACACAGCCTTTCTTACATTAAAATGGAAGGTGGATTGCTAATCTCCTGCTTCCCTCTGTGACGGTAGACAAAAGGATTTATTTCCTCTTAATAAACGTGTAAATATGAATGTGAGGGTTGCTGGTTTGAATCCCCTGTGAGTGTTGGTCACCTTGTTTCAGGACCACAGCTTCAGTGATCTGTTTCCCGTTGACGTAGGTTTCAGCTCCAACCAACGGCTCCAGAGTCACCACCACTGCAGATAGACAGAACACAGCTCAGAACAGCTGGACCATCAGAACCAGTAGCTGGACCCAACATCAGAACCATCAGAATCTTCTGCTGGACCTAACATCAGAAACATCAGAACCAGCTGTTGGACCTAACATCAGAACCATTAGAACCAGCTGCAGACTGTTGGGAGTTCTGGACTTTAAGTTTCAGACTTTAGAGCTCAGAGCATCATCAGGTTTGTTAACATGTTTTTTTTTCATTTAGCCTTTATTTATCCAGGTAGTGTCATTGAGCCACGAGAACTCATTTTCAAGAGAGACCTGTTTAGGGAGCCAATGGTGGGGGTTCAGGGCCTTGCCCATGGGCCCGGAGTGGAGCAAATGAGGGTGGAGGCAGGTTCTGCTGATTTGAGGTCAGTCATGTGTTTCTGCTGATTTGAGAT